CCTCATTGGTTACTCTTGGAAGTTGTACCACCCTCTCCAAAAGTGATGCCAATGGGATTCAAAGAAAGAACCCCCGCCGGGGAGGAGCTATCAGTTAAATTACAGTATAAATCACATTGTTCTTAATCATAGAGGGCAGTCTCAAAACGCAGTCTCTAAACGCAGTCTCAAAACGCAGTCTTTAAACGCGGGCTCTCAAAGTAGTGACGAAACGCAGGCCCAACGCAGTCTCTCTGATTAGAAGTTAACGCTTACCGAACTCTGTACTGTCGGAATAAGAGCAGCCCAGAAGGTGTTGTGTAATTGATAGTTAATAAATTCAGTGTTTACTCTTACATTACAAATACATTAAGTGTTGTGTATCTTTGTGATCACTAAGTGTCTTCACAACCCCTATACAGTGTGTCTAAGTCCAGGGTCCCAACGGCCTTCCCCTTCGACCTGAGGCCCGTAAGCCCTGAGAAAGCTGAGAAAGAATCTAGCTCTACCCGTCTTTACCCACTAATCCCACTGTCCAGGAGACTAGCGATTCACCCTCACCTTTCATCCATCCTTAAGCCCTGAGAAAGAATCTAGCTCTACCCGTCTTTACCCACTAATCCCACTGTCCAGGAGACTAGCGATTCACCCTCACCTTTCATCCATCCTAAAGCCCCTGAGAAACTGCCTAGGAATCGGACCCGTGATCGCAGCCGGACTCCCGCATCATCAGCGACTGACATCAATAGTGGTGCAGGTCAAGTGATTAGTGAAAGGTAAGACAACTAACCTTGAACAGACCCCAAGAAACAATTACAAAGTGGAGCCCGAAGTAAGGGCGAGTAAAAGAACAGTTACACTGGTCAGTGACTGACATCAATCCCTTGTGAAACTGGAGAAACATAAAATTCCAACTGATGTGAATGCGGGGGTACGGGGGTAATGAAGTTAAAGAAACTGCCGATTTGGCCGTGCCATAGCTCAAGCGCTTAGTCACTGTCTTCCCACCGCCGGAGCCCCGGTTCGATCCCAAGAGTCAGGTCATGTGGAATTTTTGGTGGACAAAGTCGCACTGGGACAGGTTTTCTCCGAAAACTTGGTTCCCTCTGCCAATCTTAATTCAACAAATTGCTCCACAGTCACCATCTGTCATCTGTGGGTGTTATGAGAAGCCATTAGTGGGTTCAGTACCAAGTGTACTCAGTCTCACCACCCTAATAATAATAATATTAATTAAGAATAATATACTGGTAAGACTGGGATCTGAATGTCTGAACCAGCTCGCGGCATTTCAGAAGGAACTGCCAAGAGTGCTGTCAGGTGCTGGACAAAGGGAGACCATCATAAATACTTTAAATCATTAAGAGAACTTAAACAGACAAAGGGAGTCCTACAAGGATCCTATATCAGAAGAACCAAGGAATTCTTAAAAGTTAACAGAAACAAGCTACGATATGTGACTACTTACAGGACACTGTCACCCGAAAAACACATCTTCAAACTGGGATTAACGGACAGTCTCATTTGCGAAAATTGCGTAGAAGGAGATGTATCCGCCACACATCCTCTGTGTGATTGAGAATCCTTAGCTTACTTAAGTTTTCGTCACCTGGGCCACTATTTTATGGAGCCATGTGACTACCAAGACGCGCCTGCACTACATTCAAAATGTAAAGTTGCTGAATTGTTGAAGGTCGTGATGCAGGGGTCGGTCTAGGCCTACTCCTTATGCATTCATTCAACTTTAAATATCTGACATATTACATGGCTTCACATTCCAGAAGATAAAATTCTTTCAGTGAAAGGAAAGCTTATGTTCTCCTAGGACAAGATATCTTATAGTTTCGTGGAGGTATTGTAATATATGCACCCCTTAACATACATATATATTACTTTAAACATTATGTATATGATTTTGTCTGACTGTACAGACAGGAAGTTATAATTATAATTACAATAAGATAACTGGTCGAGACAAATACGCATGATGCAACACTTGTTTGTCGACCAGAGAATAAGGAACTTTGGGATCATCTGCTATGAGCATGTACTCCACGTGAAATCATAGCATGTGACTGCCAGCCAACGCCCATCCTAGCCTCTTTAAAAGACCATGTTTTGGGGCGCGGATCGGACTTCATAGATTTCACTTCATACACTGCATTGAG